GACTTTATGGCTTTTGCAACATGCTACATGATGACCAAAAGGAAACTGTATGACAAAAAAACAGAATTCCATTTGAATATCAAAATGTTACATACATTTAAGGATCATGAAGAATCAATATGTTAATTGAGTTAATAGTGTTAATTTCAACTACACCCCTATATTGGCCTCTTCGTAACAGGCATGGCTGCCGTGTCTATTTCTAGCGACATAGTATTACTGGGGTTTTCCAATATCTTAAACTTGCCATTCAATTAAGTTGTAGTTTCCTTGCTGCTTATTTAAAGATTAATTTCAATTCACGACTTGAACATTTTTTGAAACATAATGTCCGGTAAATTGAGTTGTCTACACAATTTTTTTCCCTCTTATAATGCCCTACTTTAAAGACACATTTCTACGGTCAAATGTTTAATTTCATGTTTGATAAAGGAATGTTTACGTGTATTAAGAACCCAAAATTATTTGGGTAAAGTTCCATTCTTTTTTATTATTTTAGATAAAAGTTACAGCGAAAAAACATCATATTTTGTCCGGTAATATGTAGGATCCCAGTATACTTTGTAACTCAAAATTTATTTTTTCAGCAAACAAGATCATTTAGAAAATGAGGATTGTTTCCAGCATAGTCTATGCAAAAAATTTATGGACTATTGTTGCTTTTTGCAGAAATGAGTAAAATGTTGCTCTGTTTTACCTAAAAATCTTGACATTTAAAACATTTTGCACAAAAACTTTGTTGCTTATGCCCCAGTCACATATTCACGGCTAATGCCACAGAAGAGCTATGGTCTAATCACTCACGGATTACTACGGAAATGTGAAATTCCGTAGTCCGAACGGACACACAACGGTATGATTACGGAGTCCGACGGATTTACCACCAAAAGCCCCCGGAGAGACACGGATTGTTACGGACCGACACGGTTTGATATGGAGCAACACGAATCAGGACGGACACACTACGGATACACTACGGTCTGCTACGGTCTAGGCATGGGCTAGTACAAATAATTACGGTCTGATACGGAGAAGAACGCATTGAAACGGAGAAGAACGCATTGCCACGGATCTATACGGACCTAATACATCCGTCCACAACCTCTTGCTTGTTCATTTTCAAAATGCCTCAAAAGAAAAGAACACCTAGAAAACGAATTGCAGCGTTCAATGATTTTGGCGGAGAGGATTTAGCCTAATCACGACCGAACTCCGAGACACATCAAGTCCAATTAAAGTGAATTTCTTGAAGGACGCTGGATCCTCAACAAGTTCGGCCATGAGAGCCTCATACTAAACATGAAGCAGTCTTCTTAAAAGCCCATCTCTAGTCCACCATCTCGTCTGTCTTCTCTTACCTGATTAGATATGGACTAGTAATCATTAATGAAAAATGTTGATCAATACTGCTTCTCTTTTAATTTTAAGATTTGCTGTTCATCTTTCAATTTCATTAATTATCGTGATGTTTATGTTTTAAAAAGATGTAAAAAGCTTGTTAATTAATCTTATTATCACTCAAGGGCCAGTGTCCGAGGCTTATGAGACACTTCGTTTTATGTACATATTTACTCCATTTTCACGATCCAATGTTTGTAAAATATGTAACATTAAATGTTTTTCTATTTCTTATGAATTGTAGTACGATATTAATATAAATTTACTTCTATGCATGTCATCAAGCCGCTCGACCACTGCCTCCGCATTCTGAACCATTTCAATATAAAGTTGCAGCCAGTAAATGGCAATTATCATTTATTAAATGTTTCTGCAAATATATATGTCTGTTTTTAACAAGAAGGTAGTATTTATACCCTTACTTAATTCATCCGTACTAAACAGTGGTGGGCTGTCCCATTCCGTGTTGCAACGCAATAAACCGTATAAGACCATGCTAATCCTTGCTTCTCCGTAGTACAACGTATTACGATCGTGGCTTTCCGTGACAATGCCATATTAATCCGTATTAAAACCGTAGCTTATAAGTAGGGTAACCGTACAAGTACCAAACCGTGGAAATCCTTGACAAGTTGGTGGACTACGAATCAGTACGGACTATTACAGTTTTCGTACGGACCAGTACGTATTAGTTCGGATTAATACGGACTAGTAGGGAAATGCTACGTTTGATTTTTCCGTAGCAAATTTTTGTGCATGTTCAAAAATTGTCAAGGATCGCTACGGATATACAAGGACTACTACGATTGATTACGGTTACAACACAGAGAGCTACTGACCAGTACGGGTAGCTATGGACGATGCCGGAATTAATCCGTGGCTCTTCCATGGGCGTATTCCGTGAATGTGATTGTGACCGGGGTATTAGGTGTATAAATAAAATATGTCAATTCTCACAAATTTTAACACTGGTCACATTGAAATATGCCATTACTTTGAAATAAGTGATGATGCGGAATTAGTGATGTTGAGTATACATTTTATATTATCAAGGCTTTTTTCTGGAAAATGAAAAATGTAAAATATTAAATTAATGAAGGAAAAATATGATCATAAGAGAAACCGGTTAGTAAATAAGCTAACTTATGGACTGTGTTTTTGTTTTATTTATATGTAACTTTTTTCCGGCACTTCTTTTTCCTTTTTTTATATATACATGTATATATATCCATATATTTATGATTTCATAGTACATTAACAGAACCAAGATTAATAATTTTCTAAGAGAGACTAAAGAGCAATATATCTGCCAAGCTGCCTGCTAGAAAATGTAAACACTGATAAGCAGGTAAACTTTTATCCAAATCACTGTGCGTAATTGTTCAGGGCTGATTTGGAATATTTCCCCGTTCCTGAACTGATTTGGATTTTTTTCACCGGATTGATTCAGATAAATTGGATTTTGAGCTTGACAAGGTAAGAAAATATATAAAATAAACATATTAGAACTGTTAGTCTTTGAATATTCTACTTGCATGGAACATTGCAATGTTTAAGGAATTCATATACAACTTTATAAGGTTCGTTAACGGTCTTTTATTAGTTAGAATTGAAAAACAAATTTCACATGTCAGTGAAGTAGTAGTACACATTAGCATAAAATTGCCAGAGTCAGTATTATCTTTGATTTTTCAGAGATTTCAGAATCATATTATAGAAAAAAATCTTTCCTTGATAATTTAGCGGTTTAAGTAAAATGTTTTGTCCAGTAATGAATTTATAGGACATACTTATTTATGACAACCTCGTAAATTTTTTTAGGGCACCGGATTGATTAGTATTAAGGAAAACAAGGCAAAGCGCTGACTGTTACTTGGCTTACGTCCTACAAATTCATTACCGGACAATTCATTTTACAAAAACCACTAAATTATTGCGGAATGATATCTTCTATAATATAATCATGAAATACTTGAAAAAATAAGGACAATAATGACTTTTTTGGCAATTTTATCCTAGTGTTTACAACTACTTCACTGACATGTGAAATTTGTTTTTCGATTCAAACTGATAAAAAGACCGTTAACAAACCTTATAAAATAATAAAGTTGTATATGAATTCCTTAAACATTGCAATGTTCCATGCACATAGAATATTCAAAGACTAACCAGTGGCGGATTCAGGACCGGGCTTCAGGGCTATAGCCCCCCCCCCCCCAGCTCGGCCCAACGATACCTTTACCAGCTCGGCTGGAATATATTTTGCCAGTTGGCTGCAGTGTACTCCCTTATCAAAACAGTTATTGCTGTCATCCAGTTGTTAATCTCCTGCCTGGGGGCTTGATAGAGATCTTGCTTGATGCTTGAATCACTTCAATGTTTAAACTGCATAATTGATTTGTTTATTACTTTCCAAAAGTCTAATGAAATTAATAGTCACAGATAGTGGCAAATAGATGTGTAACATTGTACACTATATTTTACTATTATTTTTGTTTTTCCATTTTTTTTGCGAAAGCTCTAAAATTAAGAAATTGAAAATTATTATTTGTAAATTAAAAGGTGGCAATTGTTATAAAGATGATATTAAAGGAATCACATCTTAGTTTATAACTGATTTTACTAATTTTTATTCAGATGAAATATTTGGTCATTTGCTTTTTAATATTTTTTTATGGCAGTTATATTTTTTAAATAAAATTTAAATTGTACTGACCTCTTCAATATCTAAAATGGATTTATTGATGGAAAAAAATTCTTATTGAATATTTGTTTCAAATTATTATTTTTTGTACAATAGAAAAGCAGTATTTTATTAACACTTTACTTTGGGAAAGCGCTATTATTTTTTATATAAAACTATTATTCAGACAAGTAAATTGATCAAGTGTTTGAAATTATTTTTATCAACGGTCGCGCATACATTGGTAAGTATGCTGTTATTTTGTAAATGCTTACTACTAAACACCAGGAGAATATTATTTGAAAGACGCTGCAAACACTAACCTATAAAAAATACAATGTGATGTTAAATCATCCAAAAGGTATCATACACAGCACTAAAAGTCAAGGAAATAACACCATTTTCAATCTCATATTTTAAAATTTTCTGAGTCTATGGGATGGGACACCTCCCATACCCATCCCAATCACATAAGATACATCAATTATAATTTGATCACCTAAAACAAGATGCTGCCCCCCCCCCCCCCCCCAAAAAAAAAAACAAACACGCGCGATTTTCACCTGTTGCACTGTTTTTCTTTTCTTTTTGTCTTCCACCTATATGTCAGCCCCCCCCCCCCTCCCCAGGTAACCCTGAGCCCCCCCCCCCAGGTAACCCTGTTCTGTATCCGCCCCAGCTCCAGCTAACAGTTGTAAATATGTTTATTTTATATATTTTCTTACCTTATGAAGCTCAAAATCCATTTTATATGAATCAATCCGGTGAAAAATATCCGAATCAGTTCAGGAACGGGGAAATATTCCAAATCAGTCCGAAACGATTACGCACCGTGAAAATCGCTGGTTGTTGCAAGTGTTCCCTTACGGCGTTATTATTCATTGACTACTCTACAAATCAAGCTCAATAAAAGACTTACAAGAAAAGCATTCCTCATACACATCTTCCATACCTCTTGCAACGATATTGTCAGAATGACAATTCCACTTGCTTCCGGTATGTGTACATCTAATTTTAATTGGTTGATTTCTTCTACCCTAACCAATCAGTATTCAATAATAATAGGCACGTGTTGGGCATGTTTTGCACGGGGATTACACGATTTTGGGTTTATTCGGGACGCTTCAAAATCAAAGTGCTGAAAGTACAAAATATTAATAACCAGTTTGGTATATTGAATACCGCCTTCTACAGCTTTATATGCCGCTTTTTTCCCCTTTCTTGCTGCATTCCAAAGGGTACGCTGAAGATCTTAAGCTGCCGCGAGAAAGTCCTGATATTTTATGCTCTTAAGTAAGAATAGAAATTGAAACAGCTATATTCTACAGTATATTTATTCGTATTCACACATTGGCATTTTCTACCACATTTTTTTTGTAACACGTGTATGTTAAGAATAGACAATACTGGTTTGATGAGGTTAACATCATTTTATTCGTCATCATTATGATCATCAGAGATTCAGGTCTTCAAATATATTGAAAGACCTTGGCTACACATTATATAATTGACAAGATATGTAATTACTACAAATGACATTGTCTATTATAGAACTCTAAAAAATGAGAATTCCAATCTAAAAGACATATAATTACATACATGTATATATTGACATCTCTACAATGTAGATAACTAATTTCAAATGGAAAGAAACATGAACTTGGTTGAAAAGTGAACATTTTAATACATGTAGTCCCTGAATTACCAGCAAGCAACTGGTACAAAATTTACTCAATCGCAAAGAAACTGGACATATGATTTAGTCAGCTTTTTACACCGAAAATTATTATATGTTAGGTACCATTAATTTATTGGGCTGGCGCTCTAGCCTGACAAATAGTTTATAACCGTTTTTCGAATACCCCGCGCATATCCAGTAACGCAGGAATGTGCAAAAAAAAACACAAAAAAACAACGTACAAGTCAAGCCGAATCTATGCAACGCTATTGCCAAAACGAACAATACAGTAAATAAACGAACCAAAATTTTTTATTCTAAATCAAATTTAAGGAAATGATTGAGCGCATGCGGTTGCTACGACATTATACTTTTACCAGCATTACATGTTTTTTTTTTCAGGAATATGTTTACTTCTTTAGATCATTCGTGAGAAAGACAACCTGATTACCGTTTTGAAGGTGACTTTTGTGTTTCGTCAAATAAATATGTACATTTAACACATTTAAAACATTATTTTCTCATATTCATATTCTAAGACATTTGTCAAACTGCAAGTGTCGTATAACAATAGGAAGAATCTGGTAAAATAAGAGTGAGCTACTTTTAATGAGATAACCGCCGTTGCTTCAGTGCTGCATTCACGAATTCGGCGTTACATCATAAAATTTGTCTCTGCTAATGACATGAGTAGATAGTAAAATGTCTTAGGTACAACGAATATAAAAAAATCATGAAGTAATATGTACGCTATCAACGAAACTAACAATCGGCATCAATACGCAAGTCAGGTATGATCTTAAAAAAATAAACGGTGATTACGAACGCAACCTGCTGGAAACCTAATATAATTTAAATTTTATCGAATTACTTCCTATATGTATTTACCTTTCCAATTCAACCTAGAAAAAAGCGCGTTAGGAACATTTGTTAAATAAGCTAATTGCTAATTGTTGAATGCAAAGAAATAACAATCTTGCTCTAAATACTGCACAACTTTTAAAGGCAATTGTGGCCTGACCAAGATTTTTTTTACAAGATTCAAATAACCCAAAATACATAGTATACATACATCAATTTTGTAACATTGTTGCGTCACCTTAACAATATTTATAAATGTGAACAAAGACTAGTTGTTTATATCATCCATTAAAACATATACATAAACACAAGCTTCCTTAATGGGGTTGTATCACTACTTATTAATACATAAAAATCACGTAGTTCTTTTTCGCCAAAATAACAATTGAATAAATAATGATCACGGATGTGCTTGTATATTTTTACATATAAAGAAAGCACGGAACTCACAATCTATACTATCATTACAAGTTGTACTCTTAGGATATTATTATGTCTGCCTATTTCTATACCTAATTTGTGGTTGGAGCAACGGAAGTGTATTAAAATGGTATTTCTATTAATTAGGTATCTTTCAAACATAAATTTATTATAGTTAAAAACATCGACTAGTATTCGTTATATTTTCATACCATTGTTAAAAGTACAACAATCGATAAGTCTTTAAGGAACATATTGATGTCACGAATTTCTTGAGATATCCAGACAAAACCAAAAAATACACCTAAACAGTACATATTTTACTTTGGTAACCCAACATATTCGACCTACTTCGTCTAGTGACTTCAATATTTAATAGCACTGTTTAGGATATCTAGATACAGGCATGGTCATGCAGAAGTTAAAAAAATATCGTTTTCAGTTTGTCATGTACAAAATACTTAAGGGTAATCTACCACATTCTCCTAAAACCATAGCTATATTTGTTGTTGTTTTTTTTATGGATAAATGTTTTCGACAAAATTGTTATGCATTTATATTCAATAGTTTGACTATATTCAAATCCCATAGCATAACATTGGTTTAATCATATGATCAAAAATTTTAACAATTCATTTACTTGCAAAATGACCGAAAGGTTTCTGATAATATTTTAACGATGATATTGCCTTTTGGGTTTGAGATGCCATTTTTGTAAAGAATCGTTTTGGATCCATAAATTAAATACTATGATTCCAAATGGACTTGATAATAAAGTTTTGTTTGATTTATAATGTGTTACATGAATATAATTATTAATATGTTTGTCTATTATCTTATTTTTAACACTGTCTAATAGCTAGACATCTGTATCACTATCGATCCATTTTAATTCATGTACATGTACCAGCTTTATTTATAACATAAATATTTGTTTCTACATGTTATATTTTTGCCGCTAAACGCCATCACGTTTTTCGCGCGTTTTGTGACAAACTTCAAAAGGAATTTCATGTCGAAAACCTTTCCATTGTGGGCAGCTAAAATAACTTTCCCTTCTCCAAAGACATTCAGCCATAATAGAAATGCAGACAAGGCCTCTGATATATCACAGGATTTAACTTCCTGATTATGTAAAGAAAGATACTTATTTCCTTTTATTATGTGAATCTCTAAACTGTTGACAGCATGCAGTTGCTTTTACATGTATGTCACTTTTATGTAGAACGAACTAGGTGAAGTGCGAATTGCCACAGACAGCCGAAAGCTGTACAATTTCCGCATTCTCGCTCTTCTAGATCGTAGTACGCAACAATTCACTTTGGATGACATTGTTCGTCCTTCACCAGTTTTAAATTCACAAGGCGTGTATAATGTTTCTATGATGAGTAGCGTCTCCGGCTACAAATTTACACCATGTACCGCATTTTCAGTGGTTTCCATACATATGTGATATAAATGCCTGCAGGGCAGCTCTCATATCGTCTGCTGATTGGTTGGCATTTTGCTTTATTGCATAATGAAGCTATCCCGCAGAGGGTGTCAAAACTTTATATGACTTAATTTTTTTAAATTGTCTAGCTTACTTTTTATCCCCCTTTCTATGTGTTGACTGTATGAATACTTAACTAAGTCCGGATTAATGTACAATATGTTCGAACTTATTGTACAGAACTTGAATTCTTGCCACCTCCGACTCCCAAATACTTTATAAACCATTAATAGTGCTTAATATTTTTAAAAACAAATAATGGTAAACTGTCGCTTACATCAGAGACATGGATCATGCTTGCGTGATAACTAAGGAAAACCAACTTATTAGTACATCCTAGGACGCGGAAAACGCTCATAAACCGCTATATCATATAGCTGTTAGTAAAAATCGGAAGTAAAGTGAACAGTTAAATGACAGAAATATGTGGTAAAATATGTTTTAACAAGGAAATAATTATTTCATAGAAAGACGCAAAGATCAGTCTTCAATCAAATGAATGACCCCGTATTTTGTAATTAGAAAGTTTCTTCAATTCTAGGGCAACGCGTCATAATTTGATAGCCCATGTGTAATGAATTTCAAATATTCAATACAGATTATGAAATACATAAAAATATTAAAGAATAAGAAGCTTTAAAGAAAAAAAAACATATATATACGAATGACTTATATCGAGCATCGGGAATTCATCAACATATCTTACGAAACTTTAATTTGAAAACGATATTTGCGCGCGCTGAAATGATTGATGTTTATTTGAATCAATCAAATAAAAAGAACTTATATGTTTGTATTCTAAAAATAATCGGCGGCATAAGAGGAATTTCGTATTCATTTTACAA